TGGTGCTTCCAATTCCGAGCTTTTCGGATGCAACTGGGCTCGGAAGTGGCGCTATTTTGCCATGTTACGGTGGAGGGATCGTTTTCCAAATGGCTAGTTTTCCGCTTTGGGAAAAATAGGGGTTGTCTTCTTTGGGTGAGAATATCTCGAAAAGTCAATGGTCTACCTACCAAAAATAAAAAGAAAATAAAAAAAAATGACGTGTTGATCATCATTTTTGTGCAGCTTAAATATATGTGAGAGTTTTGAGTGTTTTGAAACTCATATTGAAGTCTTGGCATTTAGCACTGGTGTCTATGGACATTTTTATACAGGGTTGCACCTTTAAGCTAGCGGAAGCACTCAACTTGCAATCGGCTTTCCCAGCACCCCGGATCGGTTCTTGCAGTGTGATTGGTCTTCGGATACTAAACAGTCAGATATTCTTCAAACAAATAAGGTGTTCGCAACCAATTTGGCAGGAGAAATTTCTCTTACCTGTGGTTTGTCGGGCTTGACGGAATATTTTGCATCGACTAACACAGATTGTTTTCCACGGAAACAGGTAGGTAGGACATCATTCGTATGCCATTACTAAATTGAATGTAAGAGCGCACTGGGTTATTCATACTCAGCTCGGTGTATGCTTCGAATGGTCAGCAGGCTTTAATGTGTGTACATTGTGTTCATCTGCGAAAGAGTACCCCATTTTTTTTGATCGGACGAAATTGCTATGTTTATCCTATGTATTACCATTACTATAAACTGAGATGTTGGTTTTTCCAAGTGAAAAAAAAAAAACTATCGAGTACAACCAGTTGCACATACAGTAAATAATTGACTGTCCCTTTAAAATATGTTTGTTTTACTCTAATTTTCAATAACAAGGCATCGTCGCTAACCAGACTGCATCTCTCAAAGTTCCCCAAAGCCTCTAGTTGCATTTTGCGATGAAAAAGATGAGATTTCATAAATATGTTTGTTTTTACTTGTCCATTTAATTATGCCAGTGTTTTTACTCTAGTTGCATTTTGACTGTTTTGCTCTTAGATTTATTTTTGTTCTGGGTTGATTCAGTATGCTCTACTTCCTTATTGGTGTATTATTACTTTTGCGGGTGCTACTGTTTTTCCTTTTATTTTTCTTTCTCGTAGCTTATAATTATTTGCCCTTCTTGTGCCTTGGGTTTTTTATATTTCTTTTTTGGGTGGTTTTGTATAATGGATTTAATTGAATGGATTTGTATTGATGTTATAGCAATTATTTATAATGTATAATAATCTTCTCCTTTTTTGGGGTCTAGCACATCTTTGACGACAGTTTTGACATTTTTTTTGTCCAGATCAGGACATCTTTTCTTTTTAAATAGATTTTTCGTTATTGTCCGAAGATATTAAATATGTCAATACAAAATAACAAAACAATTATGAATTTAATATAAAATGTTTAAGAACATTTCCCACTGCAATAGCCATGTAACATGTTGCACACAATATGTATTTCCTCCATCATTCTTCAGTTAACCATTTGAACTTCTATTTATATATATGTCGTGCGTACGAGATAAACACATATTTTTGGATGTCCCTTTAGGGGCTCAATAGTTGATCATTTGAACTTCTAACAATTCGTGTAAATTGCATGCTTTGCTGGCTGTCACAACATACGACGCATACGTTAAGGTGTGCAGGTTGTCATAACTCAACGAAGCAACAGTTGAAAAACCTGCAGGTTTGACAATTCGCTCGTAGGGTCTATGCATGAGAAAAACGTATTACACATTTGTAGCATATGTTTCTCTGTTTCCAAACATTTATCCGCAAATTATTTTACACAAGAGCAAAGAGAACAGAGTGCGGGTCGTAAGAATCCGAAATCACAAATTGTAAAAATCAGATTGTTTCTTATAATGTTAGACATGACTTTAAATGAGGTAGACGTTTTGCACATACGATGAATAAATTGACTGTATCTATAAATACAAATGTTTTTGTTCTTATTTTTTTTTACAAGGCATCGTTGGTAACTAGATCGCATCTCTTAAAACTCCTCAAAGCATCTAATTGCATTTTGCGATGAAAAGGGCTGATTCCTTAGATAATAAATGCACTTTAAAATGTAAACGACATTTTTTTTTTATTTTGCCACGGTTACAAAAGTAGCCAAGTAATATGTTGTACAACATATTTATTTCCTCCTTCATTCTACAGTTATCCATTTGAACTTCGAACAATTGGTGTAAAATGCATGCTTTAATGGCTGTCGCAGCGTACGTGCAGACTGATTGTTATGTAAAGTTGAGCACCATGGGTCGGTAGCGCTGAATGCAGGTTGTATTATATTACTGCACAAGGCAACAGGCAAATAACCTGCAGGTTTTACAAATTACTCGTAGGGTCTATGCTGAGAATAAACGTACTGCAACTTGGATGCACACATCTTTGAGAACTAAAAAAGTTCGCACAATAATCGGTCTGTTCTCTGTTTCTGAACATTATCGGCAACTTGTTTTACACAAGGGCACAGAAAACGGAGCACGGGTCTCACACGTGAAAATCAGATTATTTTTTTTAAATATACCATGACCCTTGAAGATGATATCAAATCATGGTAAATTGTTATTCTGCATAAGGTCTTTTTTAATGGTGTGTGCCAATACATAACAAAAACATGCCAGTTTTATGGCAAAGTAAACATTTAAGAGAGGTGCCAATGAAAGTTTAATTGTCTCAGTTTTTACCCAGATTCCCAAAAGTGGGGAAGCTGAGTGTATTATCCTAACGCACGAGTGACCAAATCTCGTAGTAAGAACTCTCTGACGTCTTCGTATGCTCAAGGACTACTAACATGGAGTTTATAGTTCACACGAAAATATTTGCAAATCAATTCTTTTTTTTGCAAATTCAAATAGACTGCTTTCAGCAAACAGTACTTTCGAATTTTGTGAAAAAATTGGTAAATGTGTCAAACTGCTCATAGGCATTTAGAAATATAATAAAATACTATAAAACACAACATCTGGAAAAAAAATCAACATCCGCGCGTAATCATGGAAATATATTAACAGCACAGTAGTTCGAATAGTTGGCGAATCTGATGCCGAATCAATGTTTACTTCCTCGGATGGTTCGTCATTCTTGGTATTTTATATCTAAGGTATTTCAGGACGTCAACCTTCAGAACGGTGTCGTTGATAATCTATTGCGTTGTCGCATTTATCCCCAAAGAGGCCGAGTGAAACATCCTTTTACTGTGGGAGCGATAGCGCAAAAGACTGGACCCCAGCTTTCCGACAATCCCAGATTTTCTGTTGCAAGCTGATTTTTCCTTAGAAACACAAACACTCACATCTTTCTCAAACGAAAAAGGGTTGTCCTTGGCCGTTTGGGGAGGAGAAAGCTCCAGTGGTTTGCTCTTGGTTGCCAGAAGCTTCTACCGGGATGACAGTTTTCTTATCACATTGAGACTTGTAGGCTTTGTATCAACACTCATTCATGTTTTCTGAATTGAAATATAAAAATGCACTCTGGCTTTTTCTTATCAGGGTGGTGTATGCTTTAAATCGTCATCTATTAAATTTATATACCTTTGTGTTCCTCTGGCAAAGAGTACCTATAGGGCCCTATAATGTATTGATAAGACGACATTGCCATGTTGACATATCATAGACATGATTATAAACAAGATGTTGGTATTTCCAAGTCAAAAAAAAACACAATCGAGTACAACCAGATAGAAGCTTTGCACATACAGTAAATAAATTGACTGTCCAAAAACAAATGTTTTTTTGTTCATTGTTTTACAAGGCATCGTCGCTAACAACATCGCATCTATCAAAGCTTCTCCGAGCCTCTAGTTGCATTTTGTGATGAAAAAGGATAATTCTTTAGATAACAAATGCAATTTTATATTTAAACTAAAATATTCAAGAACTTTCCCTCGGCGACAGCAATAATCATGCAACGTGTTGCACACAAATTCTTATTTCCTCTTCCAATCTTCACTTAACCATGAATTTTGAACTGCCAACATAAACATGTAGTGACAAATGCATGCTTTGTTGGCTGTTGTAGCGTACGTTTGCAGACTGATTGTTGAGTAAAAGGTTAGCAGTAGGGTCACAAGTGCTGAATGCAGGTTGTATTATGTTACTGCACAACCCACAAGGTAAACAACCTGCAGGTTTTACAATGTACACCTGGGGTCTATGCAAAGAATAAACGCACTTCAAATCTTTGAAGATTGACAAAGTTTGCACAAAAATTGGTTAGCTCCTTTGAATGTTTCTCAGTTTTTCAAACATTTTCCACAAGGTTTTTTTTTTTTAATTAAAGAAGCAAATAAGAAAAAAAAAGCATGGGTCGGAGGAATCCGAAATCGCAAATAGTGAAAACTAGATTCCTTCTTATTACAAAAGAACCCTTTAAGAGGGCATAAAAACATAGTATAGTTTTCTTCATGAGGCCTTTTTTTAATAGCTTTTGCAAATACAAAGCAAAATCAAAACATTTTTATGGCAAAGTAACAATTCAAGGACGGTATTAATGAAAGCTTTTTATTCGGAGCATTTTTACCCGGATTCCAAAATGCCTAAATGACGTAATCTTGAAGAACTCTCTGACGTCTCACAAAATACGTGCATGGAAAGGTAACACGGTATTGCTCAATGACTACTAACATAGACTTTATCACGGGAACACACGAACATGTTACCAAATCCAATTCTTTTTCGCAAATTCAAATAAACTGTTCTCAGGAAACAGTACTTTCGAATTTGGGTAAAAGAATTTGTAATTGTGTAAAACTGTGTCATGCGCAATCAGAAAAATGATAAACTACAATAAAACACAACGTCTGAAATTAATCTTGTCTTTGACTAAGAATCAACTCCCGCCCACAATCATGGAAATATACATACAGCACAATTGTTCGAATAGTTAGCGAATCCGAATCCATGTTTACTTTTTTTTCCCGTTTGGTTCTTCATTCTTGGAATGCCATATTACCTTCTCCTTTTCAGGATGACGACCTTCAGAATGGTGTTGTTGATAATCTGTTGCGTTGTTGCGTTTATTCCCAACGAGCTGGAAGCAGTGAAGCTGGAGAGAAACTGGAGAACCAAACCTCTAGACGGTGATAAAAACATATTTTGCAAATTTGAAATATCTTGAGTTCAACACATTCTTCTTTTTGTATTCTATTCGTTTATTATCTCACTTTCAATACCAACGTTCTTCTCCCTCATTTCTTAATACCTAAAGTTCATTGAATTTGAGTGACATTCCTCTCCATCCAACTGAAAGCTGGGGCAATTATTCATTTAATAAAACAGGATGAGTTTTTATATCAGTTTTGATTGCAGTTTTTTATTTAAAGACGAGTAACTTTTACTCGAAATCGTGTAGTTCCTAGTTCCACTCTCTCGAAATTTGAAACTACGAAATAGAGGCTTTGAGTTTTGATATATAATTGACACTAACAGTGAATTTGTCTTCAGTTCTAAAATTGAAATAATCACGAATAGAAGTTATTATTCCTACATAATTGGTGAACCTTGTGAGACAGTTGAAAGACAAGCCTTAGTCAACAGAAGAGCAAACAGTGGTTGTGTACAGTTATTTGTAATTGATGACATTAAACTTTAAGTCAAGATATTTCATTTCCCCCCGAATTTTCAGAGACATCTGTCAGTATCAATGTGAGTCAGCCTGGTCTGCCATTTTACCAGATTCTCAATAAGATCGGGGAAGATGTCTACATCGGAGGCAACGAAACACTCTTAAAATTTTCACTTGGGAACAACAAAGTGACAACAACAAAAGTAAGAAATTGCTGTGATTATAGCCAAGCAATGACAAAAACACCACTCAAACAAGCAACATATTTTCCATGCCAGCGACCATAATTACACAAGATTTAGTTAACTACTACGTAATTATTATGGAATAGACGTTCCCTGCGCGTACTTCTTTTTCACATATCGTGGGCTACGTTTTTTTAAAGGAATATCTTTTTTCTGGTTTTCCTCCGATGTCAAAAACTTAAAATGAATCCATCGTTTACTGTCTTTAGTGTCTTTGGCTTTGCAATCTACAGTCACTATAACCATGAGAAATTATGCCTTTGTTTCATTATTAGAAAGAAGAAAAATATCAATACCATATACATTTCTTCTTTATATAACACACAGTAATCCCTGATTTGAGTTTATACAAAGTGGTGCAAAAAGAAGGAAAACCACTTTTGACAGTAATTTTAGCCTACTTACTTAATTTATTTGACTTTATTATGTATATTGAAGTATAACTTTTCATCTGTACGTGGTGAAAAATAAATCTTAAAAAAAAATGCATGAATAGTGTTATTATGCTAATTTCAATATAAGTTACCCAAATCACTGTTGTCCTCGTGTAATTTTGTCTTCAAATCAAGCTCCTGAGCTCAGAATAAAGCCGTCCGTGGACAAATAGGTTTGGCACATGAATTTTTTAAACTACCATAATCTCAGAGACAAAATTTGCATTTGCACTTATGTTTAAAGATCAATATTTTAATACTATCAAATTGAAAGTTTTGAAATATGCCCAACAAGTAGGTGAAAATTGCTGTCAAAAGTGTTTTTCCTTCTTTTTGAACAACCCTGTATATGGAGCTGATAATGATTTTTGCTTCCATGTGAACAATCATATATTGTGGTTTTTGTTTTATTTAATAATTGAATATTTAGCATTCCTTTCGGCCAAATTTACCAGAATGTGTAAAACAGTACATATAGTCTGTTAGAAATATAGTGAATTGAATGATGTTTTTATTTTGTTATCTAGATGTCATTTGAAACAATGGAGCCTGAGGGTCTCGTTATAACCTGTCCGAACGCACACCCTATGGATAAAGAGGTGAGTCGTTTCGTACGTCATTATTTTCGACCACCAAACTTGAATCTTTCATTATTATTGGTCGTTCCTATCAAAGGCGCACCCATAATTTTGCATGATAATTGAATAAATGTTGTAGCTCAGGGCGTTTCAACATACATGTATAAACTAGCTGTTTGTATAGCGTGTAGAAATGTGTTACGTTAGAGAACTTTATTTATTTTTAAAGTCTCGTCTATGCCCACTTTTCCCATTTGTCGGACAGTAGTCGCTAGGTGTAACAATATGTTGGAAAAGCAACAATTATTTGTTTCCTTCTTATGACCGATTAGAAGGAATTGGACAACACGTCTTCGATCGGTTGGCTTACGACAAATCTTATATTTCTTTGTATTACACGCACGCTCACGCTATACCATCCATGTAAATTGCTTTAAAGTTATTTAGTAATGTCATTATTAAACTAGTTGTTCTCAAAGAGAGGCGGAAACCAGTAAGGTGGTCGGGGACGACCACAAATTGTATAATTGGCAAACCATGAAATCTCAAAAAGGGGAGGGTGGGGAGACACCACATGACGATTGGGGGTGCTGTTTATGCTGCAACTGTACATATCATGTAATTGCGCTAATATGTCCTACTACCTTACATCGAAATGGTGTAGACAAAGTTTTGTACTGTTTGTTCTCCATTTTTAAGGACTATTTAATTCATTTGGACTGCTGGGAAGTTACAAGATAACATTTTGGTGTCTTACAAAAACAATTCGGTGGGAGGGGATTATCCAGCAATTACCCATCCCCCTGGTCTAAACGTGTGGGAAGGCATTACATTCACCGTGTGGATTTCCGGGGGAAAAAAAGAGGTCCACATAAACCAGGTAGAGGCGACGTTGTGTGGACTTGGGCAAGTCCACACAGTTTTTCCCCATTTCTGGAAACAGGTTTAGAGGCATTTTAGGTTTATCTGTGGCAAAATTAAAAGAAACACTAAAGGGGAGCATAGAAAAAAATTGGGTTGAAAAAGTTTTCACAGTTTGGGAAAAATGATTTTTTTTTTCACTGGATTTTCTTGACTAACCCAGGGAATGTCCACATTTGGTATGTAACGTAAATGGGAGGTACCCCACAAGGAATGCCCACCGACGTTTGGTACCCCAGAAGTTTTTCAAGAAATAGATAAATGGATTTCATTCAAAAACTAGGAATTTCCAAGGTGGCTTGATCCGTCGCAAATGGAAGAGTTTTAGAAAAGGGATATTAAGTCCGAATTTCAGCCCCCAAAATTCATTCTGGCTAAAATAAGAGCATTTTGACATTAGTGTGCGACATTGCAAAATTTTAGTACACGAGAACAAAGAAGTACCCCACTTCTATGCCTGTGTAAGGGTGGGTGAGTGTAAGGGGGCACATTCTCCACCCCCATCACGCTTAAACATTAATTAAAAGCTAAATTTAAATTTAATATGCCTCATCTTGAACCCCCCCCCAAAAAAAAAAAAAAAAATAATAATAATAATAATAAATATTTTTGAATTAGCTGCAGCCAACCTTTCCAAGGAGCAGTACATTCTCAGGTGACACTTCCCTTGTCTTTATTAACGTTGCCACTCATGAAACATTGTTATACTTTATCTAAAAATAGACTGTCTGTTGGAACTTCATACGAGTTGCAGAAAGAACGAGTTCTGGCGATTTCCTGGTGTGTGGCACAAATGCAATGAGCATGCAGTGTTACGAGGTAGGCAGATAGTCTAGTCAGTTGGTCGGTCTGTAGTGTGTCTGTGGGTTGTGGACTGGTCTGTTGATCGGTCGTTCGGTCTGTCGGGCGGTGGGTCGCTGATCCATTCGTATGAAAGTTGGTTTGTCGGAGAGTCAGTTGGTTGGTGGCTCGGTTGGTGGATGAGTGCGTGTGCTTTTGCATTCAATAGGGGACGTTGAAAATAGAGAACTATAAGGTCCACTTTTCCCGAAAGTCAGCTTGTCAGTCGGTCGGTGCGTTGGTTAGTCGGATGGTGGCTCGGTCTATTGATCGTTGTGTTGGTCAGTCAGCTTGTACGTCGGTCGGTGAGTTAGTTGTTCTGGTGGTGGATCGGTCGTTCAGTCTGTTAGTGTTAGACATACAGTCGCACCATAGTTCAGTCTGTGGGATGGTTGTTTGTCTGATCGGTGGGTGGTTGAGTCAGTCGGTCAGTCAGTCGGTTGGTTAGTCTGTTAGTCGGCCATTGGGTAAGTATGGTCCGTCGTTAAGTTGTTCGGTGGGCTTGTTGTTTGTAGGTCGGCCGATCCGTGGGCTGTTTGGATGTGATGAGTCGATCGGTCTTTTCACTGGTTAGTTGGTGACTTTGTCGGTTGGTTGATCGAACGTTTGGTCAGTGGGTTAGCGAGTCGGTCAGCTGGTAAGTGGGTCTGTGTGTCATTTCGTCAGTTGGTCGGCTGGTTGGTGAGTGAGTTGGTCACACAGGTCTGTCCTTCAGTTCTTTTTTGTCCTTTAGGTCCTCGGATCAAAGGTTGTTCTTGGTATAAGGGACAATTGATATTGTTTTAGGCCAAAGATAACAAGGGTCGGTGATTCAGTGTGCAAATTTTCCCTTAAGAAGCACAAACCAAATGTTACCTTGAATTTAAAGTTGTGTTGCGAGATATGATTTTATCAATGGTTGTCATCGGCACCACGAACTGACACTCACGCGCAAGTGGGTGTCAGTTCGTGAAAACCACGTTATCAACATGTTCGGTTTCACGAACTAACACCTGGTCCTGCACGCGCATATCGACACTGACGCAAAATAGAAAGATTTTAGTTTTTACGAACTTACACTCAATAAATGGAGAAAAACGGTTTAAAAGGTTTTACACGAAATTAATCCATACTTGTGTACTTACATAACAAATAAGTAAAAACGTTTTAATTGGTGAAATTAAGGTCAGTGTCAGTTCGTAAAACCGGAAAGGTGCGGTCTAAATGTGCCGCACTGTGGAGGATGTCAGTTCTGGAAACCCAATATAACCCGGTTCTGAAAATACGCGCGCGTGCAGGGCACTCACGCGCAACGGGGTGTCAGTTCGTGGTGCCGATGATGTGGTGTTTCATTTTGTTTTACCTTTTTTTCGGTATATGGTTCTTCGATCCTCCATCCTCCCAAATAAAGTATAAAGAGACAAGTGTACCATAGGCTAGTCTTGGCTTTACACACAAAAAATAGTCTTATTGAAAACGGTACATGTATTTATATCTTTTCACTGCGTGCAAGATAGGCTGAGGTTTTGAAGATCAAGCAATATTGTTCAGCATTATGTTCTCCTAGTGTATTTGTGTGTGTGTTTTTCCTTTACAGTGCACTATCAATTTGAAATGCCATCCTTTGAATACAAATTATAACCACCTAGCTGTGGTTCCTCTGCAACATGATGCTAATGCAGCGACAGCTATGTTCAGTAAGTATCCCAATTTTAGCAAAAGGTACGGTTATCATTGACAAAAAACCTAAACAAACAATTACTAAAGTGAAATCTTGAAGTTAACATATATCTACTGGACTTTACGTAGAGTGATTTCAACTAGATTGTTGCTGTCTTGAGAAGAAAACATGTAGCTGTAACTGATTTCCATGTGAATGTGTAGCCATGGGCAACAATAGGTAGAAACTGTTTGCATGGGTCTCAACCCAACCTCTTATTTTATATCAGACAGTGATCGTGGGGATATGCTCTATGGTGGGGATGTTGCGGACAGCACCTTCAACAGATGGTCTGTACAAGCAGATTTAAGCTCCGCCAACCCCATCGAGTTTGAGCTAGATACAGTTACTACTGGAGAGGGTTTTATCAAGGGTAAGTCAGATATGCAGGACTTTGCTTACTAATCCAGTTCCTGTGTACAGGATATTTGGAACACTTCTCGTGGAAGTGTATGATATAGGATATTTAATTACATATAGACTTACATATACCCATGTATCATTATAATTTCCCTGTTGAGCAAACACTTGGTGTGTAACAACAACTGTTAAATTAATGGTCTTATTGTTTAGTTTGCATAACAACAGAGTTGTAGCGAGTCACTGAATTTTGGGACTCGAGTGGAGTCGAGTCATTTTGTGGAAGTGAGTCAAGTCAAGTCTAGTCGAGCCTTCTGATGAGGTACTCCAAGCTCCAAGAGACTCGAGTTGTGTCGAGTCAGTTACCTGTTGGGACTCGAGTTGAGTCTAGTCGCCAAAAATTGTGACTCAAGTCGGACTCGAGTATTTACTGCATAATAACTTACTCTGCATAATAACTGATTTATATTGTCCACACAACCTTGATGGTGCAGTCATGATGTCTGTTAAAATGTAATTGCCTTAAAACATGAACATGAATTCAATCCCTGCCAACTGCTTACTGACTGGATTGATTTGAAATTAATGTATGGAAAAAAATAGAGGGGCTAATATATCGATCTTAAGCAAGGCCTTCGCTTAAGATCTAATCATTTGGCCAGCTACATTACGTGCATATTGAACGTTCGCAGTTTATTTGATCAAATAGGATTTAGGGAGGAGTTGCGGGATAGCATTGTGGCTGTCTTAGAGAGCAAAGGACTCTTTTTTTTCTATTACATAACAAACTGTGTTTAAACAATACCATGGATGATTTTGTGAATGTATTCGTAGAACCAACCTTTGTGGGGAGACCGTTTGAGTACACACACGATGATGGTAACGAGTACGTGTTTCTGTTCTACCGTGAAACTGCACTTGAGTACACCGCTGGACCCAAAGTGTACTCGCGCATTGCCAGAGTGTGCAAGGTAAAGGAATATCTTCAAACTCACAAAAGCACTAATCATTTTGTTCTTCTGAATAGCTGTGTAAAAGCGTATAGTAAACTGTTCCAAGCCCCATAGTCCGCATATAGGCATATACTCTAAAGTGTCCCGGGTCAGATTGACCCAAAATCTGGGTCAGAAAAGTTTCATGTTGAACCGAAAAGTGTCAGTTTTGACCCAGAAAAGTGTCAGGCTAAAATAGAATCCGGATCCTGGGTCAACCTAGCCCGGGATTTTTTTTAGACTGTACTATGGTCCGTTTAATCATTTGATACATTTTCTTCTCTCCGTGCTCTTTAACAGAATGTTATATTTTTTCCAACAAATACATTTTAATTTGGAATACTTTCCCTTAATGTCAGGCGCGTCTGCATGCCTGTGAATCAATATAAGAAAGTTATTGTGGTTGCTTTGGTGCCTTCAATGCACGCAAGGATCCACACATAAAATAAAATGTGTTGTTGTAAAGTGATTATTACATTAACTTAATTTGGGCGAAGCTTTTATTTCGCTCCATGTCTTATTCACCAATCAAAACGTTTATATTGCAAAAAACTACACCATTTATTATTCGAGATGTATCTCGAAATCAGCACGGGAAGACCAACCTCAGGTATGTTAAATCAACGATTGACCTTTTTGGAATGAGATGGTGTTATCTTCCCATTACTCTTACCGAAAACATTGTGTGGAATTATATTGCGGCGGAAGACGCAACTCAAACACAGTGAATGACAAAATAGAGCTCACTATTGATTGTTATTTGATCTGCACAGAAAACAAATATATTTTCTTCAAAAGTAGTTCTATAGTCAATTAAATAGAAATTCTGTACCACACCTGTAGATCATTATATAGATTTGTCTTCTTTCAGCCGATACATGTATTTATACTTGTGTCATTCATTTGTGTCAACATCTTTTCAGAATGATACAGGAGGCACTGTCAACACAAAGAAGTTCGTCACCTTCATCAAGGCTCGCTTGGAATGCTCAGTACCAAATGGTGATGAACCGACATTTGAATACAATTATCTGCGTAAGTTGTTTCAATCCCAGCGCACTGGGCCTTTTTGAACGCTTTTTTTTTCAGTTGGATGCAAGCAGAGCAAAATTTATATAGCTGCAGGTGATTAACGCTTACAGTTTTGTTTTCATTAAAATGTTTTTTTTTTTTTTGGGTCATTCGTATAAACCTTTACAGTGAAATTGCGTTTGTCTTGTTTTAAGCTCAAGAAAGCTATATTACCAAGTGAGCAGTATAATTTTAATGAGATCTTGGTCTTTTCAATTATTGTTTACAGAGGATGTGGTTTGGGACGAAAGAAATCTTAGAGCATACGCGATTTTCACCTTGCAAGAGTGAGTAAAACATTCATTTTTAATGCAGTTTGCTCAAGAGAACGAAACCCGAGTTGAAAATAAAGACTTGGTTTCTGTCTGATAGCCATATGTGTATAATAGCCTTGTGTAATTGTATTTTGATATTCGTATTGGTTTGAGTAATTGACACTGATATATTTTAATAGGACGGGAAGAATATATACATCTGTCACTGCGATGTGGAATTCTTTTTTACACAAGTTAACAATTAGAAACCATAAAAAGCTCCCATTCTGAGTGTGGGCCACAGGGAGAGAGACACAGGCTTTGTACGGGCTCCCATGTCCCTCCCCCCCCCCCCCCGCCATAATTATGCAATTTGTTGGAAATAGATGCCATGATTGAATGGATTTCATCCCTTGAATTCAGAAATGGACCTCCGACGTCAGCTCTTTGCAGTTACAAGATGCAAGATATCATGCGTCTGTTTGATGAGGGTAATTTCCTGGGACAGGACGATGGTGATGTCAACAGTCTATGGTATGAAGTGTCGCGGCCACTGAACCCAAGGCCTGGGACGGTATGGATGTCTCCAAATTATATAAATGCTTCATCGAGTAACACAGAAATGATAGCACTTGCTGCTATATACGCAATTTAGCGTTTACAATGACTAAATATATATTTCATGCACTCTATTGCACGAAAGCAGTGAATTTGATATTTCGATAATCTATAATAGCCTATACGTGTACCACCTGTTCATTCTGCATGCAGCCTTGTGGCATGTGGGACACAGATGCACTACGTTATTCCGTGTTCCACTCTCGCTCGCGGGATAACTGATTGTATACTCGCGCTTACATCAAAACGACGCATTTAAAAGCCTTTGTCCACTTTTCAGAACTTTATTACTCGAGATCCGCACCTTTTTTTTCACCACGAAAAAGTTAGCGATGATTCAATAGCGCACCCCCCCCCCCCGGTCAACATGTGGGGGATTTATACCCCACCCCCTTTCGGATGTACGCCCCTGACTGCATGTTTTGACTTAGAACAAAAGGAGCTGTTTACTCCAATGTTGTTTAAGCTAGTTATCCAATAAGGATGAAGTATTAGGTCTATGCCAAGAAATTCCCGTCAGAAACAACTCTCTTCTTCCAATGTTGAATTGCGGTTATGTAAAAACGCCATCGGAACGAGGTTGTGCCTATAAAGGGGATTAAAACAAATGTCCTTTTCGGATATTTCCTTGTCTGCCACAAAAACGGGAAAGTTTACAAGTTTTCCTCTTCAAGCAACATTCAATCTGGGTTGGACCACATTCAGTACAAATGTCACCGATAGGCTATTCATATATGCATGCAATGGGCACAGGCCTTTACTTTGTGACTACCCAAAAACGCTACCAACACAATGTTTCCTAATATATTAAGGGGGTATTTAATATTATTTAATGGCGCAAACAACAACCTAAACAAGGAGCGTCATACCCCAATTTGATTTTCTTTCTTTGGGGTACCTCAAGGACCGGGTGTACCGCATTGTGTCAAACATTCTGTAGGGACCTCGACAACGAATTATTGGTGAAAATCTAAGCCTTCAGAAGAACATGGATGGTCCGCAGAGCTATTGCTGATATGAGGACATGGACACAACTATATGCATTGATCCGATTGACAGACAAGTGGACGATCGAGTATAGCAGGACAGTGAAAATGTGAACCTAATCTGTCATTCAGTTTCAAGCTCAATAAATGTAATTCCATTTAGTTGATGTCCTGTTCTGTTATTCTATGTATTGCCTTCATTTTCCTGACGCCCATTGCTGCCATCGTGTTCATAACAAGAGGCCTATTCTGAACATTGTGTTGGTAGTGTTTTGGGTACAAAGACAGACCTGTATCATTTGCATGCATGGATGAATATCGGTGAAATTTTTAATGTATGTGGTCAATAGACCCAGATAAAACGTTGGCTGAAGAGACAATCTTATAACCTTTCCCGTGTTTGTGACACAAGGAATTACCCAAGGGACCTTGTTAGACTCACCCTGTATTACGTTATTGTTATCCATGAACCAAAAGTATCAAATAGTTTACATTTAACCATTTATGTGCCTTTTCCTGTAAGCATTTTATATTTGCAGCCTGCTCAGAGTCCTATGTTGATGTCTGTATTTTGTTATGTTTTTACACTGCCAGTGTCATGAAAAACACACCACTGACTATCCTCCTCTACTACACAAGCCGGTGCCCAGCTTCAATGCAAATGAACAAACTGGAGGATCTCAAATTTCACCGCCAGCAAATTTTCCTAAATCAGATCCACCAATACTGCATTTGGACGATGTTCTTTTCACCAGCCTGGCCGTCGATTTTGACTACGACTGTGTTTACTACTTTGGCACAAGTAAGTGGTGATGAAATTATGACTAATTATCACCGTGTTTTTTGTTCGTCAAGGCATCCAGTAAAGTGTAAAAGAAGCTGTCATAGTGCGAAATATATCACTTGTAGATTATAAAGCAAACTGTGCAATGAGGCAGTTATGCAAGTGAAAGGGATTACAAATGAGGTATTGTAAAGCAATTATAACATGGTGTATTTCGGATGGATAGTCGATATTCCCCTCGGTATAGGAAGTTAACAAACTTGTTTTCAAGGCGAATAGTTTGTCAACTTCCAATACCTCGGGGGGCTAGTAGGGACTATCCACCCTCAAACCATGTTATATTTGTATATTGTCTTCAGGAACCACATACAATTTTAGTTTGCTTTTCTGCATAGTTGCGAGAAAAAAAATCCTCTCAAAAACATACTTTGTATTTTTTTTATTCAGCCCGGCACTTTTGACATAAAACATATTCAAAATCATATTCGAAGTCATACATTCTCATGAAACTTAACTTAGGTAAAGTCACCGTAGAGCCTGCGTTCCAAAGAGTGACGTGTTGAAAACAGCCAAGAAGTCATTGAACTTTGTTCATACATGAAATTGATCATTTACTGCACATAGGCTCAAGAAAAATCACAAAAATGTTATGTTAAAACAGAAATAAATCTAGTTTGGTCCTCTTTTGGCTGCCTTATAACCTACTAAATTGACGAGTCCTTCTGTCTGTTTGTCTCTCTTGTGGAGTTGGTAGTTTTATAATGATGTCATATGATCATGATAAATGATTGGCAATGTACGAAGAGACTTATTAAGAGTAAGTGCAAAAGGAAGTAATCCAATTAATCAAATCTCTGTTCCGTTGTACAATGAAGGGCAAAATAATTTGAATGTTAATTCTTACATGCGTTTCATCCCACTTTTATGTGTATTATTGACAGCGATTGGAACCGTACTGAAAGTTTTAAAAGACAATTGCAGTGACCCAGACGAGACATTTGCAGTGTTTGAAGTTAATCTGGTAAGAAAATTGGGTTGTACAATGTGTGAGAGATAGACCTATATGCAAATTAGGAACCAATAAAATGGGGTACACCGTAAAGATTTATTTCTCATTGAAAAAAAAGATGCTGTTGTGCTTAACGGTATGATGTAACGATGGGACTGATACTAATTCTGGTCTCCTTTACCATAATTTGACTATTAGCCTCACATTGGACCTGTCACTGTTCCACTTTTATTCATTAAGACATGCGCAACACAACCATGACGTATTTTATAGAGGCAAATTTTCACAATACACCGGTTCAAAATAACTAATTAGACTGTTTCGAGTTTCTGCATGGTCCAGTGGTGTTGGTTTCGTGATAATCCTTTGACCACTTGCGTATACAAACACATTAACACTTTAGCCATTATCGCATCACATTTCACTCAATCTTTCGTTATTTTCGGAATCCTAACATTTCGGTTGGCTGAGGGGAAACTAACAGCAGGAAGTGAAATGAGACAGTTACAACGTTATTACTAGTAAAATCAAATATATGTGGTTAACCCTAATAGGGCTGGTGTTTTTAAAAGGTGTTTTTTCCACAACCGTTAAACTCGGACGTCAAGAGACAAAATTGAGTTAAATTTTGCACACATTTAGAACAATTCAATCTACACATCTTTTGATTTTCATGAGACAAGGTGTTTATGAATCATTGCATTTAGTAAGCTTACGCACCGTTACCACAGCAAGCTGTAGTATACTGTACGCGGCCTCAAGTAATGTCGCACAACCCTCAATACTAAATTTTCATAAATTTAGTATTAAAACATGCCCCACGCGTATTATTGCTAATAATGTCGAGGATTCGTAATCCGCCTCATCCCTTTTAACCCTAAAAGGGCCGGGGCAGATTAACCCGCCCCCTCAACTTTTTCCGCAATAGCTTTGAAGAAAAAAAGATTGCGACCCGAGCTGTTATGACTTTTTAGCCTCGAGCCTTGCGCATCTTTTGATACCAAAAATATAACATGGTATTAAAACAGCGGAAAACGTTCCGGCGCTACGCGCCGTGAAAATTTAATTTTCCTATATAAGTCGTGTACACGGAGCAAAATTACCATTCACACATCAATAATTTATTAGCCATAATTCCAAAACCATTTGACCTATAGTCACTAAATTTCTTGGGTATGTTTATGATGAATTGCTCTATGCATGTATCTTTTTTCAATATTTTTTCGTCACTCACTGGCCGAGATCTTTGGGGGGGGGTCGGCCCTGGCTGAGGGATGGTCAAAATAACCCGGCCCTTTTAGAGTTAAGGTTAAAAAAGGAACTATTCGACAAACATATCACTTGAATACTTAGCACCCAAAATTCAATTTAGTGCTAACTTATTAAAGCCATTTAATTACCCTTTATAAAGAGTCTTCTCAATCTCCGTACTGATTATTTCCTAAGGGCACAAGTGATCCCATCACAGGGCTAGAGTTTCTGACAAAGGATTCCATCAAACACCTCCTGCTGACAACTGAAGTGAATGTCGTAACGTTGCCCCTTAGCACCAACTGCACGCTCGAGGAATGTCCGGACAAAAACTCTCCGTTCAACCCTACATCAATTCGGTAACTAACCTCACTCTAGAGTTATGTGAAAGAACTGTTCCAACCCACCACCCAAGTCCAGCCGAAAGCCCCTCATGGCATTTCAAATAGGGATGTAATGAAAGCAAATCACCAGTACTAGTAGTCTGGTCAAGTTAAAGTATCAAATTAAGATACCGGAATACAATGTTTGTAACGACAAATAGTTTAAATATATCTGTCGCAGTTTAGTTAACGAATACCAACTATACAAAAGACAAATTTCAAGGCCGAGATTCATTAAGCAGCATGCTTCATAAGAGTTTGAACATAAGTGATGTTTCAAGCAATCGAAGGACATTGTTGTGATTTTGCATGGTACTCAGAAACCAATATTTACGATACCGCTGTCATATTTTCCCTTCTGATTTCAAGTGCTCACGCCTGTCGAGTTAGTAAGCTACCATACCCGCCTGCTGAAGGTAAGCGAGAGTAATTTCAAAAAGTGTTCTTGGTGTCTTACTTGAACTAATCTTTGAAATGCCAGAGGCCATAACTACTGAAATAAAAAATAGGCCTATTTGTTAGTCGGAAAAGTTGTAATTCTCGAAATTTGTTAGGCGCCCTCTCCTACTGTAAAATCTGACCCTCTGCCTCGCCCCCTATGGTAAGACCCCCAAAACTACCATGTGTTCTTAATCCACGACAATTCAATCACGTTAACCTACTTAATGACCTGAATTTGCCACGTATATTCTGCGGAATCATTTCAGGGTGTCCAGTTGTCTCCGAACCTACTTGCATCCAAATGTGTGTCGATTCCAACCAGTTGAATTCCTCGATCCCACAAGCAGCTATTACTGCTTTCATCAACGACGGGAACACATTCGGTTGTGCTGAGCACTCGTATTGTTTCGCTTCTGATGATGGATTAAACTCAGTGACTTGCCTCGTCACCAATATGAGCCAGATTCTGCTCATAAGAAAATCAATCTTCAGTATCGTAGGTACGTGAAATGATACTCCTGTATTATTAAAAACACTCCTGTGATTAAGCATTATTTCCAATGAAATACAGTTTTACAGACGTATACACTATCAAATGCCGGGTCAGACTTGTGCAAGAATTCAGGTTGTTTGGTCATAATGACACTTTCCTGGGTCAAAATAACAATATTTTTTGATTCAGTTTTCGGGTCATTTCTTATCTGGAAACATGTAAAGCAACATAAGACCCGGCCTTAGGGTCAAATCGGACCCATTTTTTTTTTAGAGTGTACCCTCGTAAATGTTGAATAGAAATTGTTTTCCTGACCATTTCGTATGATATATTTTGCTTTGTCACACAGCTAATCCGGTCATAACTGTACCGAGTATCCCCCAGCAGATAGTTGCAGCTGATGGATTTGCTGCTGAAATGTCATGGGCTGAGATCACAGCCACAGACACAGAAGATGGTACTTTCCTGGTCGGCATCTACTGTACGGATCTTGGATATGCGACGAGAGTTGGTATCAGGGGAGGAGTGTTTGGACTTGGAGCACACGAAGTGACCTGTGCTGTGACTGATTCAGATGGTTGCTTGGTGTCAGAAACGTTAAGTTTCTTTGTGGAAGGTAACCGTTTGCGATTTGTTGTTCTTTAGGGTTTGGCGACGGGCGGGAAGAAAAGTATGATGGTATGATTTCCACACAAAAAAACCAGTCACTTTGACACTTAAGCACTGAGACGAACAGCATATGCGAATGACACTACTTGAATATAGTGACCTTGAGGGTTTAAAAAATTATAGGATAATCCCGCTACCACTTTTATAATAGGGGCCGTATCAGAATAGGTGTTTTGTGCACTTTGAGATCCACACAAAACGAAACAATATTGTTTTGTCTTTGTAGCTGCGACAGTATACATACGTGCGAAAGAGTCAGCTCAAATTGCCTTACCTCAATACCTGAGCAACAAGCCAGACCGCTCTAACCTCACGTGGGTCATCACAACGGAAGACGGCCGCGGAATTCGCATCACTCTTCATCGTCTGGATACCGTCAATGGGTCAGTCTTTCGTGTTGGTGAAGGTAACGATAGCACCGACCTTGCCACTGTGATCTTCGAGTGGAGCGGCCCGAGACAAGTACCCGACCTGATCTCCGTAGGCAATACGATGTGGTTGACGTTCACATCATATGGAAGTGCCATGAATTCAGGGTTTTACCTCTCGGCTTTCAGTGTGTCTTCGACGGGTAATGATTTCTAATGGAATATTTTAATTATGCGCGCATGCGCAAAAGTACCATTGGTGGGTGTCGTCATCATTAGTACTTGTAGGCCGACAATTTTTGCAATAACGATCGCCTCTAGAGGTATGCACAATTATGTCGTCATAGGCACCTCTAGGGGCGACTGGTATTGTAATAATTGTCGCCCCTAGAGGTCCCAGTGATGACACAAACATGCATACTGACTTCCTCTAGAGGCGACTGCTATTGCATTGATGGTCGCCCCCTAGAGGTACTAATAACGACATGAACAATTGAACATGCATAAGGGGGCATTTGTGTACTGACCCAAAAATCCAATTAATTCAAGTTCATGTTCTGATCACTATTTCAGGATCAGGTGGAGAAAGTTGTACGACAACAGGTTTTCCACCAGGCTGCGGTACCTGCAGCGGTCCAGAGAATGATAGTGGGGATCGGGGACCACCGTGCTTATGCAATTCAACTCAAAGAGGGGACTTGTGTGATCTCGGTATGTACATATGCACAATATCAAGAGTACATAAATTGATGGGAAGTTTCTTAAAGCCGTTTTTTTGTTTCTTCTTTGGAAAAAAAGACAAAATAGCTTTTACTTTACAATCAGGGCGAAATAACATAATCTGGCGTGCTTTGTACGACACATGGCACGATGGTTTCGCGGTTGATGGGAAGGGACCTCGGTGAATGTAGAGTAGTAGCCTGCTGGTAATTTTCTGTTGACCATGGCCAGAGCACACGAGAAGAAACGAAGTGAATATAGTTTGGGACAAATGTTTAAAATGTGTATATATTGCAACCGCAATCTGATACCCTTACGCATTGGGTCAAGGCTAATGTAGGAAGGAATTAATATCTGATATCCAGTCTGTGCTGTTTTACCAATTTTTTCCAACTAAAGGGCTTTCCTTGGTGGGCACAATATGAAATGCGAACTAAAATTGTAGGAATGTTATATTCAAATATAACATGATCCTCATCTGTCAACCAGCCAATCTGTTTTGTGTATTATATTGGACGTGGCATGGTGTGGCACGACATTACATGACGAATGGTGGCATGTTTTGACATGACTTGTGACTCTACCAGACGCGACATGACATTAGATATTACAGGTTACATGACAAGGCATGGTGGCATTATTTAAGCGTGGGTTCTCTCCTATCTCCATTGAATCTTTATTTTGTAAAATGTAACGTCAAAGACTTTTATCCGACTTTCAAAGAAGCCCGAATAACGTCTTTGTTGCTTCTGATCCATTTCAGAATGTCCCGAGCGGTATCTCTCTGTCCCCTCGACCGTTGAGGTTACTGCAAGCCAAGATTCTGTGCCAGTCACGTGGGATGAGGTGACTGCTGCTATTGACGAGGTTGACATCAGCACTGGCATATCTTGTACCGCTCCTGGTTCCGGCCCTGGGGACGTGTCTGTCACTGGTGGAGTGTTTTCACAAGGTCTGCACACGGTTACCTGCCTAGCGTTCGCTTTGGACGGTTGTCAGATGCTTGGAAGTTTCACAGTTAGCGTAAAACTACCTGGTATGTAATGCGAAGAGAGATTAAGAGAAGCGTATTTTAGAATGCGTATAGTGACTAGTTTTTACCAAATTCTTTGAAAACAATGATGTTAAATGACACAAGGGTCTTTATGACAAGTTCTCCTCTTTACAATTTCTGTAATATTGTAATTGAAATATAGTTCAATACAGTGCCGTCAGTTATGTTATAAACAAGTATTTATTTTGTACAGTATTACAGCAAAATAAGCAACAGTCAACTCTTATTAATTCAACAAGTTTTCAATACTTTCAGAACAACTCTACTGCATCTTTTTAAATTCGAAAAAAAACTAAAAACAACAACAACATCGATACACACTACCAAATATATTTGACTTGTCACTATCATGCTGATCGGAAGGATTTTACATGTCTAAAGTTACAGCTACGAGCCAGCCAATGCCAGACATGTGTCAAGAAGTTGCAGACTTAGATACATTTGTCAGTTGCGTGGCAGAGGTAAGATAACAAGTCTGTTCTCCTTGTTTGTCATGTAGATGATGAAATTGAAATTTGAAATGTGAACGATGTAATGGCAATCCATTAACGGAAGGCCCTTTCCTTTGACAACATTTCTTGTCATAGCAACCAGCCAGACCCATATGCATTGTTTCAGATATAGGGTGCGTATTTGTCCAGTGGTTTAGGGAAAACATCGTGACACGCCGGATTAAAGCGCCGAATTTGGTACACTTACTGCAGCATAGTTCCCTAGAAGATATTTAAGACGGGGGTGCCCGGTTTTTGGGCCTAGGTAAAGGTCAGGCCAAGGTCAAAGTTCACATGGTGTATTATACTATATATAGTTGTAGTAAATGTCCACAACCGTCTCCAACTTCAAGTTCTAATTAGCATAAAAAGGATCTCTGCCAATTATAAAACCTACCATATCAGAAAAAAACTCCATCACAAAGCCTTTGCCCATCAAATCAGTGGAGTTTATTCCATTTTCAAAAGTCACCAAAAGCTTTAAATACCCAATTCTGAGTAGGTAGAATATAGTTTTGTCTTTTAGAATGAAAGGGAACACAAAGATCATGAACATTGACAATAAATATTGTTTAAAATTGACCAAATTTAAAATATTGGTCTTATTTTCTAATAGAATAATATTACGCGTGAGAATGAGGTCTTCGTCTCGAAGACAATTGCTCGTCTTACCAGCAATCACAAGGACGTAAGTTCCATGAACATCATTAAAGTGGCAGACATTTTGGAGGATCTCGTAACCACTGGTGACCCAACAAATGAGGTAATTTCATCTTATACATTTATTGATGTTATATTAGGCGCACTGCGATAACGTTTAATTCGTACTTTCTCTTGGAAGTTGATTTTGATCACCTTTCCTCGTATTAATAATGACTTAAATGAAAGAAAAAAATACACCTCTGAACAACGTGTGACTCAATACTTTTCAAGCCTACCGTACAAGATGACCAAGTTGCGAGGATTGTGTTGTTTTCTTTTTTTCTTAAGATTGCTACGAATATCGTGACGACAGTCAACAACATCCTCCAAGTTGACCAGACTACCTTTAACGAAGTTGAAGACAACTCACCTTCACGAATCGTTCAGGCCCTGGAGTCCTACACCACTGCCTTACAGCTCACGGGTGCCGGCAATTTTACGGAGACTCAGAAAAGCGTTACCGTTCTGGCACTGACCTTACCAATAAGTTCCCGGCCGAGTGGTTTCTGGTTTGCAACTCTACGAAATCCCGATGCGCCCGACAAGTTAACGAAGAATGATACCGCCATCCGCCACGAACCCGATGAGTTATTGGAGACGGATGCCTCCATATTTCTTCCTGCTGAAACTCTTCAAGCAGATACAAATGGTAAACACCTGAGAAGCGTCAATGTTGTTACTAAATATTTATTTATGGTTATGAAACCAAGGATTCCTCAACATTTAGAAGCGTCTTTTGTACGGTAGCTCGAAAGACTTAAGAAATCTGCAGAGAGAAATAAGTGCAGAAATATAATTCTTGGGGAAAGTGAAAACTAAAAAACTTAAACTACATTTGTGGAGCATGACAGGAATCGAACCACGACCAAAGAGGTTTAATGTGAGAGAGAACAACCATTGCACCAACCTGACTCCCCTTGCCCATGTTACAGGGGCCGATTTTACTTCTTTAGGTGTTGAAGACACTGCATGGATTTTAGTGATGTCTAAATTCTTTCACATCATGAATATCAACACTGTTTTTTTTTTCCAAACAGGAGATACTGTTAACATCAGTGTATTTGTCTACCAGAACAGCAAGTTGTTCCGGTCGCCTACACTTCGCGCTAATGAAAGCCCCGGTGAATTCCGGCGTTCCACCGGTAGTCGCATCATCGCTGCCACGGTGGAAGGTGTCCAAAAAGACAAGTTATCATCACCGATGATAGCCAAGTTCGAACCAATCAATGTAATGTATGCTTTAAGCATTGGAAATGAACATTGAAGTGTAATTTTTTTTCCAAACGGGGTGGCTGTAGATTTAAGGGGTCCGCGGGAATGGGGATGAATATGGCGCTGCAGTCGAAACCAACATCCTATCCTTAGACCTGAAGTACATTGCAGGTTGTAATATTGAAGTATTGCAGGTTGCGACACTATTAAGGGAACCTGAATAAGGGTGGGGTTGTTGGTGATTAGAAATGCAATCCATCAGCGTCTTGGATCCTCCATTAAAACAGCATTTTCAGCTCAAATAATTGCCTTTCTTCAATCAATATTAAAATAAAAGCTTTGCTTGATAATAATGTGCTAATATAACGCTCATACCACATGTCTTCAAGCGCTTTATCTTGCCATGATGCCATTTTTTAAGCAGCTCGAGATCAGCGCAATCTGTTCTTTATCTTCACAAGTACCCATTTATACTTTTGGGTGGAGAGAGGCAATGACCGCAAGCACCATGTTCCTCGTATAAAGGGCTCGACCCAATACCGCGGCTTGAGTCGAACACAACCACCTTGGACCACCGTAACCAATGCATTCGATCACGATCTTTTTTTGTGCAGATAAACGATGAAAGTGAGACATCTGAAGGGTATGAATGCAGGTCCAAGTGTGTTTACTGGGATTTCAGCCTGAATAATGGTTTCGGAGATTGGTCCACAAAAGGATGCAAGCGGGAGATGGATAGCGAGGGAAGAATTGTTTGCGTCTGCGACCATCTGACCAACTTCGCTGTAATTGTGGTGAGATGAAAACATAACACAAGTTACTTATATATTTTAAGATTAATGCAAAATACGACAGGCAGGATTTGAATATCACTGTATTGTTTTACTGTTTTCTGATGGCAGGATATATATGGAAGAAGCAGTGTCGCGCTTGACGTCATCAGTAAAACGATATGTGGTGTGTCCATCGTGGCTGTTATTGTCACCGTGGGAACGTTCCTTGCCTTCAAGTAAGTTGAGCTTGCAAAAAAAAGTCCATGCTTCTTGAAAAATTAAAAATGGTTTTAGGAGTACATGCTTCCTTTAACATGTATTGTATAAGACACATATTCATCTAATTTTCAGTTTAAAAAGGTTTTACTGAATCGGTCTGAGAAACTCGATGACGTATGTTAAGCCGAAGGAAGAAGGCAATAGCCAAGCGGTAAATCAAAGTAACTTCTAACTGCAAGTATAATCCTGGCCAAATTCTACTTATTAGTATTCTTTTCTACTGGGTCCCTTGTTGCTAAAAGTGCGTGGGGATATTGCTTCACTACTCTTCAAAGTCCTGGGCCATGTATGACCCAGAAGCCATCTTCTGCTGATTTGGCACTTTTCAGAGTCAGCATTTACATTCCGAGTCCAAATGACATTTTAACGAAGGCGATTGGGTAGAAATGAGTAACAGAAATGTCAATTTGAACCGGAAAGGTGTCAAGTTTGAACCTGAAAAAAAAAAATAGGCGAGGAAAACCCAGATTCTGGGTCAAAGGTCCATGACTCAGGAATGTTTAGTGTGTTTGCTGCTCTCACGCAGCACTTTCCCATGACTGGACTTTCCATGACTTTCACAACCTACGTCGTTTGTTTTCTTACCAGAAAATTCCGTAGCAAGCGGCCACAACGGATCTTGCTCAGCCTGTGCTTTGCTTTGCTGGGAATGTACTTGTTCTTCTTGGCAGGCATCGAGGCATCTCCCTGCGGAGTATCATGCGGAATCGTAGCTGTCCTGATCCATTACTTCACTCTGGCTGCAATGTTCTGGATGGCCGTGGAAGCTGTCAACTTATACCTCCTGCTGGTCAAGGTGACGAATGCCAACGTTTCTCATTTCATGATCAAGGCGTCCTTAGCAGGCTGGGGTAAGATTTGTCATTTAATGTTGTGACTAAAATAAAATGCAACAGAATGAAGTGCACCTAAAGATCATTAAAACAAAATACAGGGCATGGCTACATCTCCATTGATGGTTATACCAGGCTCATTTACGATTGCCTCTCAGTTCACAAATTTGTTGGGTCACCAGTGGTTAGTCTCCGAAGACGCGTACGCACGTTCGCGTGTACAAAAGATTCATATGGATGCATTTGTAACCAAAAGAAAGTGTTACCTTTTATCACCTTGAGGAGATAATAAAATGCATTTAGTTTTTGGTTTGTACCTTGAGTCGCGCGCCAAGACGCCTTTACTTGACATACTTTGTGACATGCTCATTCTGTGTTTGTATTGGCTCTCTCGTTGGATATTTGTCATACAGGGTTGCCACTGCTGGTTGTGATCATTATTCTTGCTGCAGACTACACCCAGTATTCCGACAACAAACAGTAAGTTGGAAACAAACAGGCTTCAACGCATTTAATTGTATTCTAAAGTGAGAGAAGTCGTATTTGCAGAAACCATTTTCCTAACAACGTATGTAATGCTACTCTATGAAAAAGCCGTGTGCACGCAAGCAAATTCAGTGATTAGTATTAAAGCAAAACAAAACTGCGTCTTGGCCTTCGGCGTTTTACAATTCAGCGGAATCCCTCTATGGGGTCTCCCGCAACGCCTTATTGCTACAAACAAATGGCAACCAAATCGACCACTTGACAAAGCTTAGTGAACATTTCTGATCGAAATAACGTCTCAATTTCTAAAGCTGACTCCGATTTCATTAAATGTGCATTCTGGGATATATCATACTAGCGTAGAGTGGCTCTGCATACCTGAATGTCTGTTCCTCAGACTAATGCTATGTATCTCGTTTAAATAATGTGTGAACGTACTGGGAAAAAAATGACAACAGAAATGCATGATTTGTAGTGCATTCCAGTGAGGCATTCAAACATACAATTACGTGTTATTTTGTTTTCCAATATTTTAGTTGCTTTTTGAAACCCGGCAACGCCTTCTACTTTGGTCTGTTGCTGCCAATCGGTCTGGTTCTCCTCTTCAACTTCGTCATCTTTGCACTGGTCATGCGCACGCTGACATGCCAAGCAAAGTACATGGGCAGCAAAAGCACACGCCAGCAGACGGTCCAGCGCCTGCAGAACGCCGTGGCCATTTCGCTGCTGCTCGGTCTGACTTGGATCTTCGGACTCATGTCAGCTATCAAGGCTTCCACCTTTGCCTTTCAGCTGCTATTTGCCATTTGTAACTCCGCCCAAGGTTTGCTTATCTTCCTGTTGTTCTGCGCGAGGCAGCGGGAAATTCGCGAGGCCTGGCTGCCATTCTTGCGGCGCATTCCGAATCGTCTGTACCGGAGAAGCGACTACGTCTCTTCAGCGAGGGAGACAACCAGGATGAGTACCATCAATAACAGCACATCAGCTCCAGGAACTAGTATGTCCCTCTCCAGATTGAGTACCGGTACCGGGAGTATTTGTGTTCCGACAGATGATGATGTCGGCGACTCGTTTTCAGGCGCGATTTCTACAGATCTCAAAAATTAAGTCGGCCGGGGGGCTTGGTATAAAAATAACGGAAGCATGATCCTTTACTGACTAATTGAAATATAATGTATTGCTATGTAAAAATCACCGGCCGTTGAAAGAAAAATGGAACAGTGGAGGGGAAACATCATTTGATAGGGCGCTGTTCAAATCCATCCGTATTCGTATCTATGTACATTTAGGCGCGTTTAGGGGCATTTCTAAGTCATATACATATTTCAATGTACAATACAATCTACCTTTTCTTGTACTGTATTTTTTTCTTCTTTCATTTTTAGTGAGGGGGGAAACTTGGAGAAGGAGGTACGAAGATAAGAAAAAAAATCGCCTAGTATTTTTCCCGCTTTACACACTACATTGGATTATTTTAATGTTTCAAAATAATTTCTTCCCATTTTCAACAGAATTGTGTTTCATATCACGAATTTGTCTTTTTTAATATACGGCATACTTTTCTTTGTGATAAACGACATTTCGATTCAATGTACAACATATTTCTTTTGTTATTGTCCATTATACCATACTGGACGACATTTCAATTAGTTGCACCAGGTATTTCTCGAGTTATTGTGCGGAAACCTAGTACGTTGTTATCATTCCATGAAAGTTGACTTGAATTCGGGTCAGATTTTTCGCGCTTAAAATACTAAATGTTTTGTTTATATACTTGTTTTTTTTTTGACGATTGTACCCCATTTTCAACCGAATTGTATCGCACGTCACATTTACTTATTACGCAGAAGTTCGTTTCAATGTAGCTACTATTTGTTAAGTTCTTATCTGGAAACCCAGTGTGTTGTTTCCGTGTCCTGTAAGTTGGCTTAAATTGTATTTTGCGGCCTTGTATTTTTCGCTTTTACTAGACAACATTTGTTTGGTTATATTAGTTTTATTATTTGACATTTTGCCCAATTGTGTTAAATATTACATAAATATCAATATACGTCATTGCGATTTATTGTAACAAGTATTTCTTGAGTTATCGTCCGGAAAACGAGTGTGTTGTTTTGTTCCAGATATAAGTTGACTTTAATTCCTATTATACTTTTCTGTCAAATTAGGGCACGCTACAGAATTAGTGGTTCCCTACCTAAATACAATTTTGTCAACACGGAGAAAAATGTGTATTTCTTGAGATATTGATCGCACAACAAGTGCGTTGTTTTGTCCAGTAGTTGGGCAGGATTATGGTACACTATAACTTAAATTGAGCATGTGTTGTCGATGTGCAACAATTTCGTTGGATGGTGACTACTTTTTGTGTAGCACACCCTCTTTTGTAAGAAATTAGAGTTTACTTAATTTCAGATTGTTTTTTTCGCGCTGTACACACTGCATTATTTTAGTTACATTATCGTAATTATTTTAGTTATATCATTGTAGTTTTTAACAGTTTTTCTTTATATTCAATAGAATTGTGTTATATAGTAGGAATAATAACAAGATGAAATTTCAATTTGTTTTAACATGTTTTTCCATGAAAGTTGACCTCAGTTCTGGTCAGGTTTTTCGCGCTTAAAATAGAGTGTGGTTTGTTTATATACTTTCTTTTTTATTTGACGATTGAGCACGATGTTCAACCGAATTGTATCGCAAGTCACATTCAATTATTATGCAGAAGTTCGATTCAATATAGCTGCTATTTCTCAAGTTATTGAGAATAGTAAACATATTTTTTTTAATATCACAGTAATACTAATATACGTCGTTGCGATTGATTGTAACAAGTATTTTTCAAGTTATCGTCCGGAAAACGAGTGTGTTGTTTTGTTCCAGATATAAATTGACTTTAATTCGTATTATACTTTTTTGTCAAATAAGGGCGCGCTACAGAACAATTGGTTCCTACCTAAATACAATTTTGTCAACACGGAGAAAAATGGGTGTTTCTTGAGATATTGTCCGCAAAACAAGTGCGTTGTTTTGTCCAGTAATTGGGCAGGATTATGGTACACTATAACCTAAATTGAACATGTGTTGTCGATGTGCAACAATTTTGTAGGATGCTGACCACTTTTTGTGTACGGCGCCCTCTTTTGCAAGAAATTAGAGTTGACTTCATTTCCGCTTGTTTTTTTTGTCGCGCTGTACATACTGCATTATTTTAGTTATATCATCGTAATTATTTTAGTTATATCATTGTAATTTTTTTACAGTTTTTCTTTATATTTAATAGAATTGTGTTATACAGCAGGAACAATAACTAGATAAAATTTCAACTTGTTTTAACGTGTTTTTCTTGGGCTATCGTCCAGAAACCGAGTACGTTATCATTCCATGAAAGTTGACTTCAGTTCTTGTCAGGTTTTTCGCGCTTAAAATAGTATGTGGTTTGTTTATAAACGTTTTTTTTTTTATTTGACGAATGATCACGATGTTCAACCGAATTGTATCGCAGGTCACATTCAATTATTATGCAGAAGTTCGATTCAATATAGCTGTTATTTCTTAATTATCGTCTGGAAACCGAGTGTGTTGTTTTCGTGTCATGGAAAATGGCTTAAATTGTATTTTGTGGCTCTGTATCATTTTGCGATTACTAGACAAAATTTGTTTGTTGATATTAGTTTTATTATTTGACGATTGTTTTTCGATAGTAAACATATTTGTTTTACAAATCACAGTAATACTAATATACGTCGTTGCGATTTATTGTAACAAATATTTCTCAAGTTATCGTCCGGAAAACGAGTGTGTTGTTTTGTTCCAGATATAAGTTGACTTTAATTCGTATTATACTTCTCTGTCAAATAAGGGCGCGCTACAGAACTAGTGGTTCCTACCTAAATACAATTTTGTCAACACGGAGAAAAATGTGTATTTCTTGAGATATTGTCCGCAAAACAAGTGCGTTCTTTTGTCCAGTAGTTGGGCAGGATTATAGTACACTATAATTTAAATGGAGCATGTGTTGTCGATGTGCAAAAAAATTGTAGGATGGTGACCACTGTTTGTGTAGCGCGCCCTATTTTGCTAACAATTTGAGTTGACTTCATTTCGGCTTGTTTTTGTCGCGCTGTACATACTGCATTATTTTGGTTATATCATTGTAATGATTTAACAATTTTTCTTTATAGTGAAAAAAAAGTTGTGTTATTTATCACAAACAATAACTAGATGAAATTCCAATTCGTTGTAACATGTATTTCTTAAGCTATCGCCTAGAAACCGAGTACGTTGTTTTTCATTTTAATTCCATAAAAGTTGACTTCTATTTCGGACGCATTTATTTTAATTTTTTTGCGCTGTAAACACAGGTCTAGTTTATATCGTTTTTGCTATTTGACGATTGAAACCGATTTTGTAACACGTCACACTAAGTTAATGTACGACAGTTCTAATTAGTTTAACAAGTATTTCTCAATTCATTGTCTGAAATCCGAGTGAGTTTTTAGCGTCTTGAAAGTTGCCTTAAATTTGCCTCGCGCTTAGTACAATGCATTGGTTTACATTTTTATTAAATATAGCGAGTTTGTTTTGTTGTTCCTTATATAAGTTGACGTTAATTCGTGTTGTATTTTTTTCACAAGAGGGCGCCCATCAGAAATAGTCGTCCACACTCAGGAAGGTTTTGTCAACACGCAGAAAAAAAACCACTTATTTCTTGGGCATCTTCCGCACATCGAGTACGTTGTTTTTGTTTAGTAGTTGGTCAAGTTTTCAGTAGTTTTTATCCAAAACTGAGCATATGTTATAGATGTGCAACATTCTGTACAGTGGTGACCACTTTTTGTGTAGAGCGCCCTCTTTTGAAAAAAAAAAGTTGGCTTCATTTTGGCTTGTATTTTTTGCGCACAATATTTATAATAAAATGATTATATCATATAAATTTGTCTAACAATTTCTCTCAATATTTAAGAAAATTGTGTTATGTGTCACATCTAATACTAGGTGATATCTCAATTTGTTGCAACAGGTATTTCTCTATGAGTTCATTGTGATCATTCCATAACAGTTGACTTCAATTCGGGTCGATTTTTTTTTTGCGCTTAAAATACATCATGTTTCAATGATACATTTTTTTGTAATTTGACAATTTTCCCCGATTATTAACCGAATTGTGTCGCACGTGACGTTAAATTGATATGCAGATTCTCGGTTCAATGTAGTTAGTATTTCTTAAGTTGTCATCTGGAAACCGAATGTTTCTTGAGTTATCGTCCTGAAAACGAGTGTGTTGTTTTTAAATCTATATGTAAGTTGACTTTCATTCGTTTTATTTTTCTTTCAAAAGAAGGCGCGGTATAGAAGTAAAGATCCCCACCCAAATACATTTTGTCAACTCGGAGAAAGATATGTATTTCTTGAGAAAAACAGGTATTTCTTGGGTTATCGTCCAGGCAATGAGTGCCTTGTTATTTTATTCAGTAGTTGGACAGATTTACGGTAGATTTCAAACGAAATTGAACAAAGTTTTTTTTTTCTCCGTGTACGGTGGTGACCACTTTCATTTTGGGTAGCGCGTCCTCTATTGAAAGAAAATGTTAGTTGGTTTAATTTCGGCTTGTATTTTGTTTGCGCTTAACATGCTGCATTGTTTTTGTTAGTACAAGTCCTCGGCCGTAAAGACGAATGTGGGCACGTGGTCACTGTGCCCACAAAGCCTCCTCCAACAGAACAACACTGTGTGAACATTATAGTAAATAGCAAGTGTCATGTGACTTATTATCTGGACAAAAGCTAGCACAATATTTTCGCTATATAATAATTGAAGGGGCATTTGTGATAGAACTGATAGCTTGCCCAGATTGGTTTATAGTGAAACAAGATTTTTACACTCGGGTCCGATCGTTCATACGGATTCGCCATCTGGAGATGTGTTAACTACAAACATGCGATATACAGGGTGGGTAAAAAGAAAAAAAAAGGCTATTTGGATCAGTCCTGTCTCCCACCCAAAAAACGGGATATTTTTTTCCCCTACTCAACCATCATTCATTTTAATGAAACGGCTATATTATTTCCTCCAGTGTCAGTTTGGCTTAACAATGGGCAATTAC